GCGCTCTGGGAGCGATCTTGGGGGCCTCATGGGCCGCTTTGGGTCGTCGGAAAACGGAGCAGGCGCTAAGCCAAAAACCTCCAACCTAAGGAAACTCAGTGATTGTGACATTTTCGGACATTCCTGTGGATCCTCTTGGGGACTTCCTGGACCGTTTTGGAGGCAACTTGGGAGTTTCTTCGGCCGTTTCGGGCCATCTTGGAGGCCATGTTGGCCGTCTTGGAGGCGATCGGGCCAACGGAGAAAGAAATTTCGGCGCTCGCTTAGTGGCCGGCAAGTTGGGCCGAGACCCCACGCGGAGTTAGAAAAGAGCCAAACATTTGCCAGACATTTGCATGCAGTGCACCCCTGTGGCAAGACCGCAGGGGGCGACGGATTGTAGTGGCCGTCGGCCCATGCCCCCACCGTGCTTGGGTCGTGGCCTTGAGGCCGTTCAGATGCCTCTTGCGACTATCTGGGGTAGACGGCCTCCTGGGTCGTGGTTCGTGCAGGGCGGGGGGGGGCTCCAAATGTCACTTGGAGCGCTCTTCTTGCCTTCGCAGTTGCACGATTCAGTACTGAGGACTCCGAGGGGCCCGGTGACACTCCACTCAGCGCATACGACGTAGTGAAGAGTAGAAAGTGCCCAGCGGTATGATCAAGTCGCCCGAAACAAGTATCCATCGGAATCCCCGTATTGCGACAAGACTTACTTCGCCCGTGACGGAGTCGCACCAGTTGCAATTTTCGATCGTAATTTGAGGGTAAGGTTCAAGCGAGAAGCCCATTTGGAGGAGTAACGGTCCCCGTTAGGGTAACTAATTGTATGTTCTAATTTGCCATAAGATGAGGGGGGTCACAAGCTTGATGCCAAGTTTGAAAACAAGGCGCCCTCCATCAGAGTTGCTGCTAGAATATAGTACGACGATTGTGCGCCGCGCTCCTGCGAATGCCATAATTTGAACCCAGTATTTCCTCCTCCCGCGTGGCTGCTGGAAACTTTTGAGACGATCGCGCGCGGCGCCAAGGCGAGAGCACGTGATGGAACCCACCCGCCCGCCCTCCATCCGCTACGCTGCCAGAATGTGCTTAAGACGAAGGTGCGCGGCGTTTTGACCACAGCCACATGTTGAAAACGGCACGCCATCCATCCACGGAGCTCTTCGAAATCTCAGGACTCGAGACAACGCGTGGTGAGATGCCCACACGCCTGCTGGTACGTGCGACGAGGAGGAGCTCTGCACACGGAAGAAACATGGAGGAGCAGGAGGAAGTTGGAGGAGGAGCGGCAGAAGGAGGGCGAGGGGAGGGGGCAGAGGAGTTGGAGGAGAAGGCGGAGGGTGATGGGGAAGGATGGATGGGGAAGGACGGAGTTGTAGAAGGATGGAGTTGTAGAAGGTGGAGTTGCAGACGGAGCTTTACAAGGATGGGGCAGTAGAAGGAAGGTTTGGGGAAGGATGACGAGCAGGGAACAGGATGAAACAATAGATGAGTAGGGCGACGAGAGGAGGGAGTAATATATTGAAGTGGTAGAGGAGGAGGTGGACTCTTCAGCCGTCTCGCCTGTGCATGGTATCACTTACCCCGTCGTCGCAAGATTCCCTCTCTTCTGCCTCCCCGCCGCTCTAACGCCTGATTTGCCTTGTCCTTCCCGTGCCCTCCCTGCTTCGCTACAGCATGTCTCCATCCTCGTGTGTCCACCTGCGACCGTGGCGTGAGACGTTCCCGAGGGCTGGACTGGTTCCCCCTCGTTTTCTTGTGATCATTGTGTAGCCGTTCCAGCATAAGACTTGCTCGGTAAGTTTTCCTATCGTCTGCTGTATTAAGTCTCGATTGTCATTGGATGATCCACGATGATGGCTACATGTCCGCCGACCCCTGAACATCTTGAAATTGCGTGGTGTCCTCACGGGCGCTGATAGTGGAAACCGAAGAAGGTTGGAGGAAAAGGAATCGGAGAAGGAGAATGTGTAGGACAAGAGAGACGAGGAGGAGGGGAAGGATGATGAGGAGTAGGGGTAAAAGGAAGATACCTGGGAGCAAGAGAGGGGGAGGGGAAGGCTTTGCAATGATTCTCAAGACGTCTTCTGGTCTTCTTTTGTTGTCTGAGGACTCGATCGGGCCCTCCTGGACTGTCTTGGGGCCATCTTGGGCCCTGTTGTTGCGTCTGGGGGCCCTCTGGGCGCTATTGGTGCTCTCTTGGTGCTCTCTTCGGCCGTTTCGGGAGTTTGGGAGGCCACTCTTGAGCTATCTTGAGCTCCATGTGGGGCTGCGACGTGCGCTCACGAGGAATGCCTTGTGGAGGGATGTCAGCATGCCCGTGCTCCGCCGTGCTCCCTCGTGGGGTTGAGGCTCTCGTTGGGCATCCCGTGCGCTCCTGGTGGCATTGCCCCCGTCGTCTCCGAGGCCTCCTTCGGCCACTGCCTGCGGCCCCCTGCCCTGAGATCCGACGTTGCGAGAAAAAATGTAGCATCGCAAAACATCACGCCCAGAGCCCCAGACCCCATCTTTCTGCATCATTTCTCAAGCCGGATCGATCTGTGAGGGTCCCGGGGCCCGAGCCTGGGCGAAAATGCCCGTTGTGAGAAAATTGCAACGCCAAGAGAGGAGGAGGAAGAGGAGGAGGAGGAGGAGGAGGAGGAGGAGGAGGAGGTAGGACGATGAAGAGGTGGGAGGAGGAGGAGGAGGAGGAGGAGGAGGAGGACGAGTATCTCAGGGTGGACGCCCTCTTGCAGCAGCCTGGGTCCTTTTGGGCTCGTGCACTGGGCTAGTCTGTCGGGCAGTACCCACGGGGGGGCCGCCGCCTGCTCCGGAACATCGAGGATCGAGGAGGATCGAGGAGGACGAGCAGGACGAAGAGGAGGAGGAGGACGACAAGTAGGACGACAAGGAGGACGACAAGGAGGACGAGGAGGACGAGGAGGACGAGGAGGCCGAGAAAGAGGATGAGGAGGACAAGGAGGATTGGGGGGGCTCTGGGCGAGTCTGGGCGCCCGTCTCTCACGGCTAGGGCCAAGCGCCTTAAGGGCCTTAGGGGTAAGAACACCAAGGCCCTGCGTTCAAGGTGTCACCTAGCGGGAGTTAGATCCACCATGCACGATGGTGCGGCGACGTCGGTTTTCACGCCGGCCGAAGTATCTAGGTTGAGATCCTTGTCGTCAGGTACTTCTGCTTTCCACCTTAGGTCAGGACAAAGTGATTTATGATGGTCTTCACTTGATTTGCAGGACCCTATCTCTCTGGCAGGAGTTTGTCTGGAAAGATGCTGCCAAGAGTGGTGGAGAGCTACTTCGCCACGACCTGAGATCGAGGGGCATGCAGATGAGTTAACAGTCAGGGAGCTCCGCGATGCTTTCTTGACAGCACAAGATAGGCTGACTCACTCTAGCTGCTCATCTTGGCTAGGAACGGTATGTGGCCCTCTCTCACACATGTTGTTATGGATGAAGAAGGGCCAATGGACAGTCTGTAGCCCAACCCATTTCGCCACGTTAAGTGGGGGGGGGTTCAACATCGCAGAAACGGCCGCGCGGGTGGTATTTCAAGAATGTATAGCAGATTTGGAGCAACAGCTGGTCCAGCAGCATGCAGACAAGGTGCTCCTTCCAACCCAATTAGGGAGAAGGGGCTATGGGCAGAAGTTTCCAAGACAGCCCTCAAGAGGGCATCTGAAGATTTAACTGTCAAGCAAGTGCAGCATTGTCGGGCGCTGTATTGTGGCAGCTGCACAACAGGTGCCAAGCTGAAGGATTGGGGTTTCGATGCCAACGGGCTCTGCTCATACTGCAACCAGCTGGACGCTGCATAGCATGGGATTTGGCAATGACCTTTTTTTCCTGGAGGCCAGGGACGAACACTCAGGGGACTTTCAAGCTACTGTCTTAGCCCAAGGGCCTGATGACCCTTTCTTTAGCAGGTTGTGGGCACCTCGGCAGATATATGATGATCCCATCGAGGATTGGGACACATCCCATTTTAACGGCAGCGGACGATGCCCCCCCAGGCAAGTTTGACAGTGACCTACCTATACTCACGGATGGCAGCGGGTTGCACCCAAACTTCCCTGGCATAGCCAGGGCGGGGCGTGCAGCCAACCAATTTAGCCCAAGCGGGGAGTTTTTAAGGGCCATTTGGTCACCCCTCCCCAGACTGTATCCCCAGAATTCTGGGCACGCTGAACACGGAGGTCTGAGTCTGGCAATCGAGTTCTCAGACTTCCCTAAAATCAGCACCCACTGTATCGGATTATGCAGGTTTATTCAAAAGGGGATCTCCAGCCAAAGTGCTGGTGGACAGCAGCCAGTTTGGAGGATTCTGGGGGGCCATAGCCATGGCTGTAGGGCCTCAACAGCGGCCAGAACTTTTGAAAGGTAAAAGCCCACCGCAATAACTCCGAGGCTGCCTCAGAACAAGACGGGTTCCTTATCCTGGGCAACGCGGCGGCGGGCTGGCATGCTGGGCAGGCAGCCATAACCCTGGCGAAAGGGGCGGGCCGCATGCTGGATTTATGGCCCAGCAAAGACGATTTATATGGGAGCCTGCCCAAGCTGTTTAAGGACAGGGAACCCCGGCCATTTGCAGAGCACCACCAACCTTTCTGGACGGGGGCCAGCTACAGATGCGCCCGCTGCTTCGCAGCTGTTGGGGCCCGCGCGACAAAGCCATGCAAAGCCCAGCCCCTGGCCCTTCGGCGAACCTTAAAATCAGCCAGGGAACCCAAGCACTCCCTTCAGGTAGGCTGGGTAGTAAGGTCACACATTCCTGTCCTGTTATGTACTAGATGTGGCGCGTTCGCAACAGGATCCAGATTAGGCAACAAGCGCACGAAGCTCTGCCCCAATGCAGTGTCATCGGAGCTGCGGAAGCTCCGCAGGGGTAAAGTTCCCGCAATTCCATTGGAAGTTTCGGGAATGTGGGACCAAGTTAAGGCCAGGAACCCTGTCTCTCCGTTTATCATCTCCACCTTCCCCGCTATGGTCCGGAGGCCTGCCCTCAAGGTGCAAAGTTTTGTTGCCCGCCAGGTCGGGGAGCCCTGCAGCTCGCGGCGTCGAGGGCCCGACGGCTGGGGGCGATGCGGACCTCGAGGGGGCCGAGCGCCTCCTGGAGGGCGCAGCCAGTGGAGCAGGAGGCGCACGGGCCCCCATCGGCGCAGCGCGGGCCCCCGGGGGGCACCGCGAGGGGCCTCGCGAGCCAGATCGAGCTGCTCGAGGCCAAGCTAGGTGAGGGGGGCCGTCGCTGAGTCTGTGTCCAGTTCGATCTGGCGAAGCATCGATCGGCTGCGCGCGCATGTAGAGTGAATTAGCCACGCGCGCGGGGTGCTGGACTCGACGCTCGACCATGTCGACCAAGTCAGACGCAGTGGCTGCTTGGCAGCCCCCTCTTCTCTTCCCCTGCCACCCCTCTGATTAGGCTGAGCACCGCCGTTCAGAGATGAGTGATCGAGCAGCGATTTCGGGGGAAAGAGAGAGCGGGAATGGATTGGGGCGAGAGGGTTTATACTTGTTGTGTGTTCTGCTGTTTTGTTGTTCTGCCTGCTGCCCCTATGCCTGCGCTGCGCGCGTGGTGCGTGGTTTATGGGGCGGGGCGCCTCCACGTAGCTCCTGTCGTCGGGGAGGGGGCCGCGTGGGCGGCGCGGCGCGCGCGCGCTGCCCCCTGTTGCGCGGGCGCGCGGAGGAGGAGCCCCCCCCAAAAAAGAAGAAGAAGAAGAAGAAGAAGAAGAAGAAGAAGAATAATAAGAAAAAACAACTCCAGCAGCAGCCGCGCCATCGCCACCAATATATATATATATATATATATATATACACATATGTGTATATATATATATATATATATATATAGCGTAGCTTTGCTTTCTATCAAGCTAGGGGCCTTGGCCTCTAGGCGCTGGCTGGGCCGCGCGGAGCTGCGGGGCAATGGGGCCCAGCGCCAAGGAGACGCCGCAGGCGAGGAGCAAGCCCATGCCCCGCCCCGAGCCTGAGCCGCCCCAGCCTAAGGCCATAGTCACGAGGCCTGGCGAGCGCGGCTTCTACGGGAGGGGGCCGCGGCTCAGGCCCGAAGCCCCGGCGGGCCCGCCGCCCGCCCGCGTCGCGGAGTCCCAGAAGAAGAAGAAGCATAATAATAAGCAGACTAAGAAGGATAGCGTGGGGGGTGGCAGTGGCCAGCGGCGCAAGTTGAAGGCTGACCGGCGTAGAATTTCCTAGATGAGCCTGGCCATGGTTCCGGAGTATGCGCGCCACCTCAAATGCAAGTTGAGGGACGGCGGCATGTCGAGCAGCTCTGATTTGGACTGAGTGCCAGCCCGCCTGGCTCAGCGCAGGGCGAGTAAGAATTAGGGTTTCATGTGTAGATAGATAGTCGTATGAATAATATTTTATAACAGCACTCGCCCTACAGCTCATAGGAGTAGACTTGGTCCTCCTAGGCGCTGTTAGTGCCGGGTCAGCCACGCAGTCAAGCCGCTCTTATAATTATTATGACAGAGGCCATGTGTTATGAGGAATGAGCATCAGCAGGAGGTAGGTCAGTAAGAAGGGTAGAAGGGCCCCGCTTCCCCCCCCCCCCTCCCGCCCAAAACGTGGACTTCCACGAGTACGCGCTGCTGCGCAGCAGCGCCAAGGGCAGGGGCTTTGGGGGTGGAGGGGGACCTGTTTCCCACCCTCTCTCTTTTTTTTTTTGTTTCTCTCTCTCTCTCTCCCCCTCTCTCTCCCTCTCCTCTCTTTTCTCAAGGTAGGTTCGAGTTGTCTTCGCATTTTGCTTGAATTTTGCGTTGTTCTCGCCGACCCTTCATGCTGCGTCTGTGTCTGAGGAGGAGGAAGGGGAGGGGCCCCCTCAGTGGTGACCCCATTTGGCGTTGCCTGGGCCTTGGGAGGCCCAGGCACCTGCCGCGTTCCCTGCTGCCCCCCCCCCGCCGCGACTTCGGATCCACCGCGCTGCGGCCTCTCCGGCTTGGAACTGCGCCGGGAATGCACCCCGAACGAAGCCAAACAGTGGAGCTGACATTGCGATCGTCTGCTGATTCATTGTTTTGCCGACGGGCGCGGGGCTTCGCACCCCCCCCAATCGAGGAGGTCTCGGCTGTTTTGGGCGCCTGTTTCAAGCAGGTGGTGTCTCCCCGCGGGGCGCATTGTTGCAAGCAGTCGCATCAAGCAGAGGTCTGGGGCCAGATCCCCCCCGCCCCCCCTCTCCCGCCCATTGTCGAAACGCCGAATAAGAAAACGCTCACATTCTAGACGCTTCGCTTCGCCCCGCCAGCCCATCACAGAAGCGAAGCCCGGGCGAGTTTCCGTGATAAGGGATGCGGAGGAACAGGCGATGGAATAGCGGGCTAAGGAAGTTGTCAAACCCCAAGAGGGGGAGGATGGAGGAGGAGGGAGGGGGGAGCGGGAGGGGCAGGGGGAGGGGTCTCTTGGAGACCTCTTGGGGGCCTCTGGCGGCATCCTGGGCGCCTCTGGGGGCACTCTTGAGGCGCTCTTGGGAGCCGTGGGGGCCATCTTGGGGCCACCTCGGAAGAGATCGATCAACGATTGGGAGGTACTCAATTAGGCCCCCCCCAGAAATCCCAAATGGGTCCAACACTTTAGTTGTATCCATGATTTGTGCCTTCTCGCCGACACCGTTTTGGACGTTCCAATCGGTCGCGAAACGCCCCGTCCAGGTCCAGGTGGGGGGTAGCGAAAGGGGTCAAGACACCCTTCCCGCCCGCAAGCCGTCTCGCTCACTCCCACCCGCCCTCCCAACACGTACGTAGCACCCGAGCCGCAGCGTGTTCAGCGGTGGCCTTTGGATGGACAGCTAATGAGGACCAAAGCAGACCGCATGTGTTCAACGCAGGGGCGAGGTGCGCCATGCGTGCCAGGCGCGCCACGCGCGCCAGATGCGCCAGGCACCCCTGTGGCCCAATCGTGCCGGGACGCCTGGTGCGACAGATGCGCCACGTGATCATCGTGCGCAATGTGTGCCGCACGTTCAAGCCGCGCCAGGTGCGCAACGTTCGGGGCACGCGCAGAGCGTGCCAGTTGCGCTTGCGCACGTGGCAGTACACATCGGGAAACGTGTCGGCCCACATCACCCTAGTCGAAAACCACTGCGCAATCGCGGCGGAGTGGCCATCATAGCTTTTGGTTGGCCTGCACATGGCAGGCAATATGCCAGTACCCCCCCGTCCCAGTCAAAAAACAATACACAGTGATCGCGAGGTGCCCGCTCATGATCCAGAGTTTGCCTCGACATGCATTTTGTGTTGTTTTTGACAGGGATGCTGGCCCTGCGCGCAGCAGGCACTATGCGGGCACCCCCGCCGTCCCCGTCAAAAAACAATACAGAGTGCTCGCGCCCCCCGATCATGACCCAAGATTTTGCGCCAGATTGGTCTTCACATAATGTTTGACAGGGATGATAGGGGGTGTGTCTCATTGGTTCTGGTTGGCTGCTGGTCGCCTGGGGGAGGAGGTGTTTGATAATGGGGAACAATGGTAAACCCCTTCCCGACGGGAAAGAAACGGGAGATGGAAGAGGAAACTCGCTAAAACACTCACGCATCAAAGCTCTGGTGTGATCTCGGATGTTTCCGCAAAGGTATGGCGGAGACAGCGACGGCAAAGTGAAGCAGAAATCGGCATCACAGGAGTCTGAAAAGTATGGCGGACAGTCCCGCCCATACTGACGAAATCGCCCAGAGCACGGCGGATTCGAAGTCTCGGTCTGGGTGGCGTGGGCCCACGGGTGTGTCCAGAGATCCCAGGAGCTGGGAGGCCTCCCGGGGTGCTTTCGCGGGGCTTCGGGTGGGGGGGGGAGAAAAGGGCCGCGGGCGTCCTCCAAAACAAGAGCTCGTTCCTCGATGCCCACGCCCATCCCCCTCTGGCGCCCGAGGACTTGACAGGCTCGGCCTGCCCTAACTTCGGGTCCACCGAACTCTCTTGGGCGGTGCCGCAGGTGGGGCTGACTTTTCCGCCCTGCTTGTGAGGCTCCTGGGATGCAGAGTCCGACACCACTTTCTGAGTCGGAGAAGCGGCCAGAGCACGGCGGGTCCGAAGTCGGGGCCAGCGGCGGGGCGGCCCGGACGCAACGGGGGGCTTCTTATGACCCCTTCTGGGGTCGTTTGTGCCATCCGCTTGCGAGCTGCTGTTCTTGCCGCTGCCCTCTCCCACCCGTCGGCGGCGCGCACAGGGGGGAAGTGAGAAGGAACAGGCCTTCTCAGAAGGCGGCGGTCCGTCTCAGAAGCCCTCCAGCCTTCTGAGAAGGTTTTGCGTCTTCAGGGGAGGCTGAGAAAACGTCTCAGAAGGCCCAGGCCCTCCGAGCCATCTGAGAAGGCCCACCCCTTCTCACTTGCTTCCTCCCAATCAGCACTTCTAGGCCTCCCAGACGGGGTCGGAGTAAATGGGGTCGGAGGATCGCGCTGCATCGCCGATGCATCGCCGATGCGGCTCGATGTGAAACCCGACTGTCTGCACGCCGACGCCGCCGGCATCGACGATGTATCGGCAATGCGGTGGAATCCTCCGACCCCATCTACTCGGACCACATCACTAGGAGGCCTCCCAATCTCTTTCCTCGAAAAGGAAAAGCAACCCCGCCTCCCAGGTCGCGAGAGTCGGCCCATTCAAGGGGCCGATGGTTGCGCTGGGAGGCGGAAGATGAGGAGGAGGACGACGACGAAGAGGACGAGAAGGAGGAGAGAAATGAGGAGGGTGAGGAGCAGGAGGACGACGACGACGAGGAGGAGGAGGAGGAGCAGGAGCAGGAGGAGGAGGATGGCGAGGAGGAAGAGGGGGAGGAGCAGCAGCAGCAGCAGCAGCAGGAGGAGCAGCAGGAGGAGCAGCAGGAGGAGCAGCAGGAGGAGGAGGAGGAGGAGGAGGAGGAGGAGGAGGAGGAGGAGGAGGAGGAGAGGCCCTGCGGAGAGGCGGAGGGGTGCCGCACGCTGGTGGCCCCAAGGGGTCGCCGAATGAGCGCCCAGGCGTAACACCGATAACTCGCAGGGGCGACGCGGGAAAGGAAGGCCGCCCGCCCTGCGAGGGCGCCCGGCGCGCAGGCTGCTTCCGCAGGGCCGCCCATCAGCTCTTGGGCGCCCAGCGGGGCTCTGGACCTAACCACCGCCTGGGGAATAAATCCTCGGGGTCCACGGCAGGCGGTGGATGTGGACACATGCGGGCCCCCTGGGGCCAAACTATTTCCACATCCGCCGCCCGCTGGGGTCCCAGGACGTCGATTCCACGGGCGGTGGATAT